TTTTTCCCCTTTTTTCTCCCTTTCTGTGCAGTTGTTAATTTGGAAAGAGAAGGTAAAAGGAAAGCTGTATCACGAACACATTGCATTCAGTCCTCCCCCTCCGCCCATCCGTTTGGATTGAATAATGAAATGGGTGAACTTTTCAAGAAACATTTTGAAGCTGATTTAGATTGCAGACTTTTAGCTACAGTTCAATGGGGGATTGAAAATGTTAAAATCCTTGAGGATTCTTGACAATTACTACAAGAAGAACAAATTTAAACTGTCAAGAACTGTGTAGGGAGGCAACTGAGTATCAGTTGCAAGTGAACTGTTGTTTGTTTTTCAGAGGGAAAACAGGAACCAAGCAGGTTAAATTACAGAAGATAAGGCTAAACAGAAAGGACTGGCTGCTTCATCTAGTGGAAAAGCCCAGCTAAAAACAGGACAAAACAGAAAATTTTGCTTATTCATACTTTAGGAAAAAAAGGACAAGGAAAAATGAGATGTAGATGTCCGTCTGTAGCTTTTAGTTAGTACTTCTCTGCAGCAGGAAAGTTTTGAGAAATTAGTGTCCTGGCAACTCAACTTTCATACATTACATATGAGGCATTGATTTGTTTTTTATTTTTATTTTTTTTAATTTGAAGATGACCTCTGCAGTGAGTGCATATTCAGCATGATGTAATCAATACTTTATTTTGGCAGACTGGAACAGTTGTTTAAATGAAATCATGATAACTGTACCAAGGGCATGCAATAATTCACTACAGAGGCTGAAAAAGCATAGAATATTGCACCTGCCATGCATTATTCCTTATCTCCAAAGTTTTAAGATTCTGATTTCTGGACAGCTCAGAAAGTGTTGTTCTTATTCTGGGACTGATTTATTTCATCAGAACTATGAAGGCTCTCTGGAGGTTACTCACAGTCATAGAGCTTGATTCCCTGGTACTGTGCGATAGAATAAGCGGGTACTGTCAGAGTGGTTTGAATGCTCTTGGTTTCTTTGCAAAATAGAACATGTGTTTTCCACAGAATAATACACCCACGCGTTTGTGTTGGTACCAGTAAACATTTTTCATCTACTTACATTTGTCATTGTTATGTCACATTTCTGATGATCCTGGGAAGCCTGCCCTCACTTCTCTTTCTTTTGTAATGACGCTGAATCTGCATTTTTGAAATCCTGTAACATGTTTCTGTGGGGCTCTTTTCATTTGCTCTAACAATTTTCTGTGACAAATACATCTGGTTTTTATTTTATTGGTTTCTAAATTACTGTAGTAGCACATTGTTAATAAACTACCTTTAAAAGCCCCTAAAATCACATGGTTGGAAACTAACTTTGGCAGGGGTGTGTGTGAGCTTGTGTTTTTAACGAAACTCATAATTTATAAATAATATGTGTTTGCTTTTTTTTTTCCTAGCTGCAGGAAGCTATTCAAAGATAGAGTTTACCTTGTTCTCAATTACTGCTGTATTGTGTTTCTGGTGTTTTCTCCAGGTAGAGCCTTTCTTTGTGAGCGTGGCACTGTATGATGTCAGGGATAGCAGGAAGATCTCTGCTGATTTTCACGTGGATCTGAACCACACACTCGTTAGACAGATGATTTCAGGTTCCTCATTTTCACTAGAAAATGGAACTGTTGAAAATACGGACTCAAATGAAATAGAAGAACCACAGGTCAAGGGGTTCCCCGAAGAATGGCTGAAATACCCAAAACAGGTATTCCACTTAGTGAGTCGTGTGACTGATTTTGGTTCAGC